ACACACAGACACACACACACACAGACAACCTCTCGTCAATATGCATTTTTTGCATTGCATTACTGCAAAAAACGCATAAAAAGCATAAAACAGTGACTTTAGCAAGGTTACTGCTTAACACTAAAGTCACTGCTTTTTAAGCTTTACTTTCAACAGTGATTTATTTACTTTTTCACTTTCATCTTTTCAATTTTTGTTAATTTTTCCCTTTTTTCGTAGTACTGGGAAATGTGCAATATTTTTTGTGCCTAAGCATTTCATAGACGTATTTTTCGTGCAATTTTTTGGCACCAAGAGATATTTGAAAATGTCGATATTTTCAGGTGTTTGTTTTGCTCTTCAGAAGAAAATGCTCAGACGAAAATTCCTGAGGAAATATGATAGTGTGCAGAACACTCGAGTATCCTCCTGTCACGAAAATAAGCCAAGTACAAGCAAGGCAAGTTTTTCGAAGTATTGCCGGACTCTGCGAATGACGGGGAGCGATGCTGGGATTGCGGAGAGCGTCCGCAACGAAGGTTATTGTTGTCTGTGGAATTTCATAAATCAAGGAGAATCTCAAGAATTTCATCAACATAATTGCTTACAAACACTCAAACAAGCCTCAGTTTACTCTCAGCAGGAAACAAATTACGTTGGAAATGAAGGAATTTGTTGCGGCGATCACAAAGTGCAAGTTTTCCGGATCCGGAAGCAGAAACTTGCCGAAAAAAGGTGCGCTGAAACATGGACAGTGAGGAGTAAAAAATGGAAGTTTGAACGGAACTGGTACAAATTACGGTGTGTTACCCTGGTGTTTATACTGATGATTGCCCAATTACCGAAGGATGCCATGGCTGTGAGAGCGAAAAACAGTAATAGCGAATTTTGTGAGCAATATAATGGTGAGCAGCAATGTTTTTTCATTGTAGACTGAAAAATTCTGACAAATTTTGTCAATAGAGAAATACGCATTTGCAAAATTGACGTCACAGCCTTTTTGTTTCAGATTACGGCAATCTATTTCATTAGAGTAATGGTTTTATAATTTTCTAAATTCAGGCCTCCGAGTTTTTAAAAATTAATTTTCGCATATTTCATTCAGAAACTGTCTCAAAATTTCGCAAAAATGAAAAAAAGAAGGGGAGTATTAGTCTGAATATTCTCAACTTAGCATAATTTGTTCGTTTTAAAAATAAAATTCCACACCGATTTTATGACGACTTTTTGATTTACAGTACCACTGCCTGCGGTTGTTTCGAGTTCTCGCTTGTCATTATCATCACAGCTACTGTTATCATCATTATCATCATCATCGGCATTATCACTCTTCACACGACAGTGTCGTTGCGCGCCCGACTGGCGTTTACATTTTTGCTCCCATGTATCACATTATAAATCGTTACTTGCTGTTCCGGAAAGGCATTGGCAGGAAGAAGAGCAATTACCGACAGTATGCATTTGCAGGTACTTAATCGTGTTGAACTCGAAATTTGAATTGAACTTATCATTACTTGCTAACACTTGTGGTGAAGTGGCAAGTAACGATGTTCTCATCCTCTAGGTCGAAGATTCGACTCTACTGCCGGCGGAAACAGTCTTCCAAGCAATGCCTTCATTTGTTTCAGTGGGAAATTAGAATGAGAAATAGAATCAAAACAACGGTCAGCTTGATTCAATTAACCCATGAAAAGGGAACCACTGACAGTCTTGCTACTTGGTGACTGCTCTTGGCAGTGTGCTACTAGCCCTCTGATAAATCCGCCTTCAAATAGACCAAAAACTAAGTTCTTCTTGCATTTAAAGTATGCAGAAATGAGTAAAAAATGAGTTCATTCTTCGTTTGCAGAAAATTTTCGGATGAAAGCAGTTGTCAGCAGTTTATGACTCAATGCTTTTTCACTGCCGCACATGCAAGCAACGAGTATGTCTTTGATTTCAATTTATGCTCGGCACTTCCGAACTAAACAATTCCAGAAATACTGGCCAGGATAATCACATTCTTGAGAAGCTAATAAATTTTAAAATACTTTTTTCATTCCGCAGTTAATTCAGTTTAATGGCTAGTTCATATTCGAATTTTTACTGTGCGTTTTTGCGCTACAGCGAACGAAAATGCACATTGTCGAGAGCTCATCTGTGTGTGTATGTGTGTGCGTGTTCGGGAACGAGTGATCTTTATCACCCATTTTCACCTCAACAGCCAAAAAAACTGGGAGACTGATATTTTGGATATATGTTCCTACCTCTTGTGCACCCCCTGTTTTAAGATCTCCTCTCACACGCGCCTAGATCCCGCGTACGGGCTCTCGAGAAAAATATGCAGATTTCTCTGGCGGGAAACGATTTTGCAAACCAGGCAGGGTACAAAGCTGAAACGTTGCAGGGATATTCTCTGTGCATGCGCTAGCAAAGAATTTCAAATTCAGCTGTCGCGACGCTTGTGCAGTGCATACGATTACGTCGAAGTTTGCGACTTAGTACTATGCTAACTCGAAAACTAGCCGGTAAACAGAGCTGAAATTTTGTGAGCGTGTATATTGTCCATTTGGGAAATCGTATGTTTAGAATGAGTTCCTATTTCACTTGCACCATGACTTAGGGCACTTCAAAAATATTTGTAGCAGGTATTTTGCTTACCGGATAATGTGCGAGGCCAAAACTTCACTGGTTTGAAGGTGAAATTCCTTACAAGTAGTTATAATAAATATTAAATTTTACCGCAAGCTCAGAAACAAGTGTACTTTGCCGCAAACAACCGTCCTCATCCTCTTCCAACGTCCAGTTCGTTTACGTACTTGGATTTTTTACGAATGGCCGTTCTAGCAATGTCTCGACTTCTTGGTGAACTGAAACTTTTGCATTTTCAAATTGCTTTTACCGAAAAAGCGACTGGATTTCATACAAAAACAGTACTTGGAGGCCCATACGACCCTGTAATGCAGCATCTTTATCCCAAACGACGCCCTTTCGCCTGCATGTTCGAAGAAGCCAGAGCACAGTCATTATGAGCCCGGTGTTAGGCTACAGCGCAGGAATCATTCCTGATATTAGCGATCTGGGAATTTAGTGTGCATGATCGCACCGGCAAGCCTGATGCGTTCAAGCCTGTTTTTTTTTGTGCCTTTGGCACAAATTAGAGCCTTTTCCCGCGACTTTCGTGTCTTTTCTTGCTCTTCACATGGCAATTCTGTCAAGAAAGTGGCATGAAAATTCAGTGCAGCAACAAGTATTATTACTTTTTTGGTGAATGTCGTTGATTCGATTCGTCACTGAGAAAAATAGTTCGGCGACTTTTTATTTTGTTTTGATTATGAATTATTTGTAAGGACACATATCCCTTTACGCCCATTCATTTCGATGATAAAATCTGTATTGGCTTATATTTGGAAGTCGAATTTGCCACCGTCTTTCTTTCAAGTAGCGCTGGAAATAAGGCTTGATTGACATTTTTGCCAGCTTTTTTTTGTGAGTGCCGCTGCCATTTGCCACAACTCGTGTTACCCCGGGAGTATCTCCTTCTCCTCTCCTAGAGAGTGAAGGAGATTCTGACTTGTTGTGACCAGTGTACGAGTCAAAACTGCTACTGCGTTGCTTTTGAACATTACTCGGCGGAATCGCTAACAAAGCAAAATTTTGCAGATGTTTATGTTGTTTCAACCAGCCCGGTGCATTTTGCAATCAGTTGCAATGTCGAAATGGTGAGCCGGTCTTCGATCTCCACGCAAATACCACCTGCATATGTCATCCACCCGATTTTTATCCATACAGTATCTGTACGCATCAAAATGCAGTGGTGTTCGAACCGGAAAAAGTGAGTTCGGCTTACGATTGACTTGAGCTCCGTTGGCGATCTATAACGGTTTGTTAGTAGACGTTTGATGTCGCTGATGCAATCAGAATTTTTAAAAGAGATGAAATTTCTGTCAAATTTTGTTAAGGAAGGACGCGTTTTGGACTCTTTCGGAAAAACATTTTATTAAATATCACAAAGTCAATTTTTTACCTACTTTGTTGCTCTAATTAGCCGTTTTTGCAGAAAACATGACACAAATTGCGTAATTACTGCTGCTCCATGTTTTCCTCTTCCTGAAATATAAGGTTCTCAAAATTATCTGACGCAGTAGCACTCTGAAACTAGCATCCGCCAGAAAAACTTGACCGCAGCACTCATTCGCCGACAACTTTTTCGTCCAAAAACTGGTTTGAATGTAAGCTGAAAATAGACATGCAGTATGCATAAGCATTAGTTTACAGCCGCAATAAAACTGAAAATTGGCTCGTTTCTTTTGCATTGAAGAAATCATATTTTTGCTGCAGTCAAAAACCGTAGCTTTAAAAAGATAATAAAATTAAAAATAAGCTTAGATTATTGCTATTCAGACTGATGTTGGTTCGTACCACCAAAGCTTAGCAAGCTGCAACTCAGCACCAGTGTCTTCTTGATATACTTGGAGTTGTCAGAGTTATATTTCGCCGTGCCTCGACACCGCTTAGTTCGTTGCCATCCCACATCTGCAGTGTGGGTCGGAATTTTGTGGCAAAAAATAAAAAAAAAGTGTCATAAGTAAAAAATAAAAATTCCACTTGTAGAAGAAATCTATTTGGTCATCACTTCCACATCGTCTGAGTACAATTTTTCTATGTCATCTGAGCAAAATTTTTGTTTGGTATTAGCTAGCCTTTGATTAATGATTTGGTCCATTCAGTGATTCTTTGAAATAATCATTGCCGTCAGCCTTTGTGATACAGTTCCCTAACGAGCCACTGTTTCACAACCTTTCTAGATTTATGTGTCCAGCAGTAGCAACAGTGAAATGTCTCGATATTCTCGATATCCGCTGCGTGGCGTTCCATCGGCTTCACGTGGACAAACTGTTGGTTTTCGAATATTGGGCTTTCATATTACGCCAACAATAGCTGTCGCAGCTGTGCTAGGTACTTGTCTATTTTCGCAAGTTTCCTCGATTCCTGTATATCTAATAGAAAACAGCCCAGGCTAGAATGCACCAGGCTTACTGGCGCGATCGTGTGTTTTTGCATCAGGCTTGAAGCACCTAAGTCATTAACCGCATGAATGATTGTTGCCCTTCGCCCACCTTTTGATCCCTTTGGCGTAAATCATCGCAAAATTTGCATGAAGAAAATGAACAATTTCTGTTTAACGATCTTTCTTTGAAAATGACTTAGCTGCTCAGCAGTTTTCCCGCCATAACTTCCATGTGCTCATAAGTGAGAACCATACACGCTTGGAGGCTGAGCTTGAAATATTTAAGTTGCACTTGAGCAGGGAACATTATTCTAAAACTTCAGCTTTCTAGCTTCTCTGTTCCCAAGTTAGTAATTTTCCCGCCAAATCTTTCACACGTCCGTTCGTGAGCATCAAGCGTACCAAGGAGCTGAATTTGAAATGTTTAAGCTGTACGTGGGCGGGGAGCATACCTTTAAAATTTTGGCCATCCAGTTTTTCTGGTTGCCGAGTTAACAATTTCCAGGCAAAATTTTCATGTGCCCAAACGTGAGAACTATGCAGACCTTAGGACTGGATCTGAAATCTTTAGCTGAAACATTCGTAGAAAATATACCTACAAAGTTTCAGTTCTCCATTTTTATGCGTTTTTGCATATATGTAAATTGCAAAAACGTACATTGGAAAGCGGCTGTGTGTGTGTCTGTGTGTTCGCACTTTTTGTCACCCACTTTCAACAAGACCCAGAAAAGCTAGAAGGCTGAAACTTTGGGGATATGTGCCTATACCATGCGCAACCCTCCCG